AAACAGTTATCTGTTAGGATTAATTGTAACAATAAAAAATACTAAGAAATATGGTGTAAGGAAACCTTTATTTGGGGCAAAACGAAGAATTAGACAACCTTTCGTCCAGGGTAACTATGCTACCATTCTACACGCCTTCAAAAAAGATAGGCTAGTTACTGAGGAAATGAAGCGTCAAGACAATGTATAAAAATTAATAGCGCTTTCGTCGGTCATGCCTTCTTTCATAGAATCTTCAGACGCCCTCTGCATATCAGATTGTTATTAGGTTTTGCGTGTGAGACTTTTCGTTCGATACATAAGTATATATCAGTACCCAAAACCGACTGCAAAGGTTTAGGGATTCAGAAATCGGAGGTGGCTGAACATGTGGTCACTACACGACACCAGATACAGTGGTCTAAATGCGAACGATTTGCCGGCTATGGGGACTCCACAGCTAAACGGAAGATCAGGGAGTCTATTAAAAGAACATCCTGAATAAGATGAACGGGAGTAGGAAACTAAGTAAGAACGCACCAATGCATATACAACTAGCCACAGGATTACAGCATCATACGCTGGTTTATTTTCATAGACAAAAGTTGTGACCACATCCGCACCCCTTCCTGCATCACTTTCAATCGCTCACATGCATGCAGGGCTAGCATAAACAACCAACCAAATCATAGAATCCCTCACTAAGATCGCAAAGTGAGTAACTAGGAGCTCTGCCGGTCACCTTTCTTGGTTGTGTTCTTTGGTGGTTGTTCCTGAGTAATTGTTTTCTGGCTCTGACGATGTCCGTTAATGGCGGACGAAAGCTTAGCATGGAATCATTGGGTAGTAAGACGGGGATCCGAGGCCTTCGCACAATTTAACAAATAAAAATCCAAGACAACCCTCCTCCGGTATCCGAGGGGGCAATCTACGAATTTCTTCCTTCCGCCTTCTCGAACGAAATAAGAGGTATGCCAGTATCTATGATTCGTTTCATTTGTCATTGCTTCACTCAAATTTTGACGTACTTTCTGCATCTAAAGTGCTCATAAAACTTTCAGCGCACTTTTAACTATTGTAATGCTTATTCACCATATTACTCATTTTATTAGGACCTCGAGATGTGTAGTTTGATTTAAAATATAATAAAATAATTTACCTGAAACACAAACTCATGTGCAGCAGCTCTTAAATATTTTCCAATTAGGATAGGAATACACTTTTGATGAGAACTCACTTTTTGTATACATCTCGGATCACTACTCTTCGACACTTTTACGTTGGTTCGAATTAATATTGTTGTTATTTTTATGCAATATAAAAGTCATTAAAATAATTTTTACTTAGTGTAAAGAATGGCACACCTTTCCCTGATCCACCAATAATCAATATTTCATGTATTATTCCTACTGATTTTGTGGCTATACTTATTTTGTATCCTGATTTTCTCTCTTCACCCAGACCCTCTTTTTCTATAGTTTCTTTCATATAATTGATCATACTCTTGAGAAAGAGACCCGTTTAAGGAGATGTGTCTTCGCAATCAGTACATTTAATTCTTACTGACTAAGTGCTAAATAATGAGAAAGTATGTGAAGCTTTGTCTAATTATACACTCGTTGCATTGATTAAATGCT